ATCTCTCCACTTTATTTTCTCACTATATTTACAATGAGCTTCCTAAATCAACGTGTTTATAAAATTTTGGGAGAAATTAAAAAAATACAACTTCAACCGTAATCCCTATCCACCTCTTAGTAGCTCCCTATAATTTAATGATGCTTTATTTTAATATTATCTTCATTATTTATTTAATGCTAACTACTATTTGTTGTTATCTCTTTCCTTTCACTTTATTCAAAATTGAATTAAACTAGGGAGTATGATTGGAGTTGAAATTGTACTTAGCTTTCTAGTTTTTTTAGTTACATTTTAACTAAAAATTAGTGAGTATGAGATATGCTTCATTTCTTTTCCTTTCTACAACTCACCAAAAAAAAATGACCTCTTTTCACTTCTTAGTCAAAAGGAAAACTCATCCATCTCAACATTTTCTCTCCTACAAACTATCATGTCTCTCCATGATTGGATGAAAAAAAACAAACAAACAAAAAAACAAAAAAACAAACTTGAAACCAAAGTTGGTCTGTCTCATTATCTGTCGGTAAATAAATCAATCAATCAAAATCGTAATCTAGTAAACGCCATAAGGAAATAAAAATCCTGGGATCACTTCAACCATCTAAACAAAGAATATAACAGAAAAAAGAAAGAAAAAAAAAACCAACAAAGATTGGAAATGAATACTTGGGCAAGGATGATCAATACCCTGTTGATGCTGATGCTACATTGCTTAATGAGAAGATGTTTGCACAGAAGAGCTATCAGATGTGCTTGCTTCTCCGGACTGGCTGACCTGAGATGATCCAATGTACTTCTACGGGGACATGGGATATTTTAAACCAATCCTCACCACTTCCTTTTGTCTACATCTTTCCTCAAGCTCTGGACATTCTTGAATAGAGAGGTGCTGGAGTTTAGTCAGATGCTTGAAACCTGGTGGCAGTTGTTCTAAATTAGGACAAGCAGATATCGTCAAAGATCTAAGAGAATCTAGATCCTCAAATCATTCTGGCAAAGCTGTTAGATCAGGGCTGTAAACTTAATATTGGGTAAAACCATAAGAACCCAATCCATGACCTAGGATCTTGAACTTCATGATTTTCACAATAACATTAGGTGGAAATTCAATTAAACTTAAATTACATACATACCTTGAATGATCAGTCTTCTACCATATCAAGATATTTGTCTTAAGCGATCCGTAGGCGAGCCGTTAGTGTGGAGGAAATAGATTTCTCTCTCTAGCATTTTGCACGTTTAGAAAAACCCGAATACATGTTTTCATCAGCGTACACATAAGATGGGTATGTGCACTATTATAGGCAGAAAGAGGACCCATTTCCTAGTGAAGCTCATAATCAATTACCACCTATCACGGTAATAAAATAGGAAACTACTTTTCTTTATTTGACCAATATAATTATTCCGAATAATATATATTAAACCAAGTAAATAATTAATTTACCACATAGGTTACTTCATGTGGGCCACACATAATATTTATAAAATATTCTTTCATTCTCCCACTTGGCCCATATGATAAATTTACTTTATGGTTCAATAAATAAACATTAGGCGCGATACATTCAGAATAATCCTCACTTTTATATAGTCGACATAAATACCGCATTTAAGCAATTGTCTAATGCGAGTCATGGCGATTATACATCAATAAGCGATACAATCCCTTCTATGTACCACAACATTAGCAAATCATCTAAAATAGTCAATAAGTGAGAAGTATCATAAAAGCTCCAATAATGTTTTTGTCAGAGACTACTCCTGTTATCATTCATCCAATCTCATTCATGTATACATATAAGGGAAAACAGGATATAACATAAACATATTCAATTATTGAGCTCAGAGTGTCAAAATAAATAAACTGTCATTGTGCTAACCGCAACATATCATAAATACTATCATGGTTTATGACCAGGAATAGTCCTCTCAACATAACTATTAATGTCTTTGGCCAGAACCTTTTACTTGGTTTGCAAGCATAAGTTTTGTCTTTATAGACACTCTTTGTTTCTGAACCTCCTTAATGACAAGGTATTTAATTCCGCTATGTTTAGCATTCTTATAACACTTGTCATTCTTGGAGAAAAGGAAAATTGCGGTATCAACATAAATTCTTAGCGGCATGGTTTTAAAACATAAACACCAAGTAATCCTAAGATTAAAACCCGCAACTTCAATTCATCAGCTATAGCCTCAAAGCAAACCATATATGCATAATGAATTCTCATTGTACTGTTAATGTTCCAATTCACTCTTATGGGCATTACATAATGCTAAACTTGTCCCCTTTTTGAATTGGAGCAACATTAATGGATAAACATGATTCCATATCATGTCTCTTTGGAACACTTACAATATATGCTTAATGAGACAAACTTAACAATTCATGTGATCCATTCTAGAATATTTCAATTCCAATCACAAAAATTGTCTCATCCATATATTTCATTCAAGGTTCTTAGAGAAAAGCTTAATGGTTTCAACAATGAAAACCAAGACCAATATATAGCAAGCAAAATAGCATAAATATCCAAAATGAGAAATATAAACTTACTCCCACTGACCTTGAGATACATACAACAATTAATAGTGCTTTAATTAAAATTAAAATTATTATGATATTATTAAACTTTGCATACCATAATAATCGCTAATTATTAATTTTATACAATGAATTCTTCAGTTTACAAAGCATGTGTTTCTTTCAATAAAAGAAAAGTCTTCAGGTTCATTCATGCAGACTTCTCTATTAAACACTCATCTAATGTTTTATCTTCCACATCCATACAGTGTAACTCTAATTCATAATGAGTTACAAATACCACTATATGATTCCAAGTGGGTCATTCTTAGAAACAAGTGAGAATGTCACTTTATAACATATGCCGTCTTTCTTAGTAAAATTGTTGACCAATAATGTGTCTTTATATCCATCTATATTGCCATTGGAGTTGTATGCAGTCATGAAGACACTTTTACACAACTCGTCCTTTGCAGGCAAATCGATGAAATCACAAACTTCATTCCAGCAAATTGATTTCAACTCATCATTCATGGCATAAATCTATTTAGTAGAATCAATATATGTTTAACGACATGTGAAAATAAAATCAAAATCTTACTTAACACTCACAGTCAGATTCTTGTAGATATACCAAATAATCACTTAGAGTAGCAGATACCAACACGCTTAATGCCTTGATATCATCTTAATGCTATTCTTTGTGGTTCTCTACTACACTGGTGAAGCAGTCATAATGGAGTGATTAGTTATTCCTTAATTTGTTGTTCATTGTTGTTAAAACTGTTCACAACTGTAGGAACAACAATTTTATTATGAAGTATGAATGCAAAAATTTCCACACTAACTTCTCATAAAACCAATTTTCTTGGTTATCCACTCCCACTAATTTCACCATTTAAAATGAAACTGACATTACTAATTTCAATAATCTCATACCCTGGTTAGGATAATAAAATCTATAACATTTGTACTTTTATAGGTAACCAATAAGGTAATCAGAAGACATTCTGAAGGTCCAATCCCTTCTCATGTGAACATTAAATTCTTACTCCCACTAAGCAACCCAAAACATAATGGTGCCTCAAACTGGATTTCCTTATTTTCCGCTGTTCCAATAATTTCTCATTTGAAACTGCCTTAATAGGAACCCAATTAGTATAATAGTTGTAGTAAGAACATGTATCCATAATGGTATAAAAAACGATAAATTACTTCACATACCCCTAACCAAAGGACAGAGCATTATAAGGTGAACACATGTTTTATAAATAATTTCAATTAGCTACAAATTTCTTATGGTATCTTTCGTGGTGTATTTAAATTATTTTCCTTAATACAATCCACTTACACACCAATAAGGGATCAATAAAATATAGGTTCAGAAGAACCTCATTCCTTACTGATTCCTTAGTTCTTTCTCTGAACACATTACCAGTCATTTATGCCACAAGAACATTAAATTTTAATTTGTCAAATAGAAGTCACTTCTAAATCAATCATGTGAAGTATCAAAAACATTTAAAGAAAAATGTTATCATACTTTAATTTCGTAAATCATTAATAGAATACCACAATTAACAAAATAGGTATTCTTTAAGATACTGAAATAGTCATCTCCAAACTTTAAAGGATAAAACATTATTACCAAATTCCAAACAAAATTCCAACTAGATTTGAAACAGTAAGAACATAATCCCCCCCTCTTTGATGGACCCTGACTGGGCCCACCAAAACTAGATGAGCCTCTGCGACGCCTACCAATACCGGCACCCAAACTGTACTTCTTGGCCACCCTGTCTACTGCTTGGGCCAAGGCTCTCATGGTAGGATATGTCGTAGCAGTGACCACCGCTTGAATATCTAGCCATAGACCCTCTTCAAAACGAGTGCACTTATCTTCCTCTGTGGTTACCAACTTAGGTGCAAATTGGGACAGCTCATTAAATTTGTGCTCATACTCGAACACTGACATGGAACCCTACCTCAACAGAAACTCAGCCTTCTTCGTAGTCTTGTAAGTATGCGGATAGAACTGATCAAAGAATGCCCCTTGAAACTCTTCCCAAGTAATGACAGCAGGGTTTACATAACCTCTTCGAACTGTCTTCCACCAATAATATGCATTCCCCTTCAGCAAGAAAGCGGCCAAGCGAACCTTATCTCCATCAGGACACTGGAGGACTTCAAATATCCGCTCGATATCTGTAAGCCAAGCATCAGCCTTAGTAGGATCGGCACCACCATAAAACTCTTTTGCTCCCAGTTCCTTTACCCTCTTTATGTCCAAGCCTTCAGTATTCCTTCTCCCATGTAAGGCAGTAGACATAGTGCGGGTGATCAAGATAAGAGACGCCGCAAGCCGGGCTCATTTCCTTCATCATGCTCCTCGGTAGGTGGAGATGGTGAAGATGGAGGTGAAGGAGGTGGAGAGGGTAGTGGAGGTGGAGGTGGAGGATTTGCTTCTCATCTTGGAACACAACCACCCCTCGTTCTAGGATGCTGAGGATACATGATTCTACACAAAGGAAACCATAGAACCATTAGATTCAACAATGCAACAAAAGCGCAAAGGTCGAAGGAAAATGAACCTAATGCTCTGATACCAAGCTGACAGGACCCGCCCCAAATCTCCTCGAAAACCGGGACGGACCCTGCCTAAATTCCGACATCACCCCGATGCCGGGCCCACTTACTAACGACCGAGACTTTCTACTAAAAATTTGGCAGAGTCTCCCCTGTAAAATGAACATTCCCAAACTTCAACCTGTTCATAATTACAGTTATAAACAACCAACTGGCAGCATGCTTTACAAGCAACAAAACAACAAAGGCCTTCGGCCTCACGATTTATACCCTCAGCGGGCGATACAGAGCATATCTAAGAAATTCAAAAACAACAGAAGTACAGTTTAACTGAAAGGAAAAGGTGAATGAGTCCCTACGAAGAACTCAAGTTTCGAGAGCACCCAGTCCGGCTCGACTGTGAAGCTCAGTTGCTACTGGCTGGGGGCGCAAAACAGAAAATTGTGAGTGGACGAAAATTAAGTCAGTTCAATTAAATCAAAATAATATAACCCCACCTTATAAAACATATGCAACGAATCCAGATGCCTAATAAAACAGTCATAAGCAGTATATAAACATATACTAAAAATCATACCGGATACCAAATCCGAAATCCGTGAATCACAGTTCACAAAACTTACCACTCAAAACTTAAGAGTCCCGAGAGATTAAACTCTCGAAAACATACCCAATGGTACAACCGGCGAGGAAGTATCCTTACCGAGAAATAAGAACGACCGAATATTCATATATATATATAATAGTAATATAACATATAATAATAAGAATATATAAATATAACCACAATTTAGTTGTACCGGGGAAACAACCCAACCGGGGGATTGTTTGACTAGTCCACATGGCAGAGCCATTCCTCAATGCACCATGTGTCTAGGAAACGAGCCGTCCAACTGGGGAACTAACTCTCAGCCAGCACGTACAGCCGACACAGTCAAAGCTTGTACGCCTGAAATACCAGTCCTACACGCGCAGACTACCCCAAATCCAGGGTCCACAGCAACATCCCCTCAAGGATGTCCTGAACTCAAATAATTCCAAGTGTATCCAGTATCAGTAATCAAGTTTCAGATCCGGGGAGGTACATAGGATAGTGCTTAAAGCACTCCAAACAATCATATCAAATAATCACACCTTTACATAAACTCATATCAACCTCCCAAGTACCCCACATATAACCATATGTGTATATATTCTCAAAACTCAAACATATTATCAAAACTTTATGAAAACCACGAATTTCATATTCAAATATATACCAAAGTCAATAAACAAAATAAATTAATATGCCATATTTTCCATAAATAAAGTCATGCTGAAGTTTGAAAGAAAAGTCCACTCACAAGTAGTCCCACACAGGTTGACCCTGAGAGGGTCCCGCCTGTTGCGTATATGGGGTCGGAGTACCTGATTCAGAATACGAAAATGCGATTAACAACAAGCGTTTCGAAACGGAATGTTAAAATAAAACCCTAGCTTCCCGGGTTTTCAGTGAATACGAGGAAAGAGGTATTCTAGGGTAACATACTGCAATTTGAAAACGATCCAACGGTCGGTACATATCGAACCCGAATAACGCACAATATGCGATAATCCGTTCGATAGTCAAACGACCTCGGAATCGAGATCCGCGAAATCCTACGCGCTCATGACAACCTAAGGATCACACTGGAACAATTTACAGCTCCACCACACTTGCCCACGCGCCGCCACACGCGCTGGCAGCAAGCGGGTGTGCAGAGACATTCCGGCGACAGAAAATCTCCAAATCACAAGTCACCCTCCCGGCTACAGGTCCTATTTAACTAGGGGAGCACTTCATTCAATTACAGCCAAGCCCAAAACCGCTGGAACTGGCCGGAATTTCGAATGAAAACCAGCCAAAACCTAGCTTCTCAAATTAGATTTTATGTTACGAATTGATCAAATCCTATGCAACAGTCAGCTAGAACAGATAGAGAGAGGAAGAAACCTCACCTCAATCACCGAAAATGGACGGCTGGAGCGGTGGCGCAACGATCGGAGAAATCCCGATTCGAACCAGTCGCAACTGCCGTCGATTCTTAAGTTTTCCGGCGGGGAAATTGGGTGGGTCAGGTCCGGGACTTCACTACGAGTCGAACGGGACCGGTCTCGAGGGCTGGGGTGGCCGGATGTGGCGGCGGGACGGTGATTTCCATCTCGGTGAACAGTACTGATGCGAACCAGAGAGAGAGAGCACGTGGGAGAGAGAGAGAAAAAGAGAGAGAGAGAGAGAGAGAGAGAGAGAGAGAGAGAGAGAGAGATAAAACTGAAGAATAAAATCTGATTTTTAACCCCATCCCTTCTCAAATTAATTACGGTTTTACCACCGAAGGAAACTTGATTGCCAAAACCTCGTTACCATTCCGAATTGAGTCCGCCACACGTCCACGGACTCACCTCAAAGCGATCAATGCAAAATAAATATCAAACACTGCCCCAAACTCCCTCTCTGGATTAAGAAAATGACCGAACTACCCTGCCCCAAGGGTAATTTCGTAAATTCACATTTAATTGGATTAAATACTTTAAATTGGAAATTTACTTGGAGTCGGGGTGTTACATGTGCACTATTATAGGCAGAAAGAGGACCTGTTTCCTAGTGAAGCCCATAATCAATTACCACGCATCACGGTAATAAAATAGGAAACTACTTCTCTTTATTTGACCAATATAATTATTCTGAATAATATTTATTAAACCCATTAAACAATTTATTTACCACATAGGTTACTTCATGTGGGCCACACAGAATATTTATAAAATATTCTTACAAGGGTAGCTACTAATTTCTTTGCAGTTCAAGGTCTTGACATTTTGCAACCCTTCAGGCAGAGAATCAAACCAAGGACAGCTCAAAATAGTCAAACTTCGAAGTGAAGAGAGGTGTTGCACACCCTCTGGAAAAGAACCAAGAATGGGACAGTACATAATGGTCAATGTTCAAGCAACGTGAGATGTTCGAAACTACACAAAAGAGATGTAAGACCACTGCAGTTTTCGATGGACAAAGGTCGAAGGGAACTCAAATTACCAATTCCACCATCTGGCATGGATATTAGACTGTGATAGTCACTAATCTCTAGTGATTCCAGAGCTTTCATGTTCTGCAAACTTGGCAGAGTGTATAGCTCTTCACACCAACCAATGGTCAACGATTTCAGAGCAGAAAGGTTTCCTATCTCTGTAGGCAATGAAACAAGTTTGGGGCAAGACAAGATCTTCTGAGAAGACAGACGAGCTGATGCAAAAAGTGTTGATGTATAACCCTTTGAGCTGAAGTCCTTGGCGCCAAAGCTGTTTTCTCAGTTTTGAATTTTATTCTTTTAGTTTAAATGCTATTTCTGCTAGTTGTAATATGGGCCGTTGGATCATAGTCCAAGTGGCTTCTTAAGTGTAGTGTTAGATTGTGACAGATGTAATCATCTCATAAGATGATAGTTTTAACAGCTAGGATCAAATCTTGTGTAAAGGCAGTTAGAGAAGAATCTCTCTTCTCTCTCTCCTTAACGAGTATATTTGCTCAGTGAAATAGAATGAACAGTATACACTCTTCAGTTTCAATATTTAGAGCAACGTTCTCTCTTTTTTTTGTTTTTCTTTCTCCCAAACAGATCCAAAATACAAAATATAAGTTACAGAAACTATGAATTCTATCATGGTATCAGAGCCAGGTTCGATTGTTTGAGCTGGGCGTGATCTGTGAACAGTAAATCAAGCTCTATCCGAGCTATCGTTGAGCTGATTCGAAGACCAAAGTGGTGAGTTCTTGAATCTAGGTGTCTAATATGGCAGGATCGAGAGCAGCTGAGCTTCGAACACCAGTTTTCAATGGAGAAAACTACGAATTCTGGAGTATTAGGATGAATACTATTCTGAAATCGCATGGTCTGTGGGATCTGGTCGAGAATGGGTTCAATGACTCAGATCTGAAGAAGAAGAAAGAGGAGGCTAAGGACGCTGAGAAGTTTATGATGATTCAGATTCTGATGAAGGATGCTCATGCACTTGGATTGATTCAAAGTGCAGTTTCAGATCAGTTGTTCCCCAGGATTGTGAATGAGGAGACCTCAAAGGGTGCCTGGGATATTTTGAAGCTGGAATTCAAAGGAGATAAACAGGTAAGAAATGTTAAATTGCAAGGGTTGCGTAGGGAATTTGAATATACTCGCATGAAGGATAGTGAATCTTTATCTGTCTACCTTGTTAGATTGTTTGATATGTTGAATCAAATGAAGAGTTATGGTGAGGAATTATCTAGGGAGAGAGTTGTGCAGAAACTGTTGTTTAGTCTGCCAAAATCATATGATTCTATATGCTCTGTGATAGAACACTCTAAGGATCTTGAAACTCTAGAAGTTCAAGAGGTGGTTGCCTCCTTGAAGAGCTTTGAGCTCAGATTGGATAGGCAGATTGAGAACTCTTCAGAAAGGGCATTTGCTAGTCTGAATATTGAAGAAAAGAAGTCTAAGAATGAAAGCTTTTCTGGAAATCAGAGTTTTCAGAAAGGTTGGAAGCCTAATGATGGAAACAAAGCAGCTTGTAAGCATTGTGATAAGCTACATTATGGCAAATGTTGGTTTGAAGGCAAGCCTAAATGCCATGGATGTGGAAAATTTGGACATATGATCCGAGACTGCAATGGAAATAAGAATGCACATAAGGTGAATTATGCAAATGAAATGGAAGAAACTGGTGCTTTGTTTTATGTGTGTAATGCTGCAACTGATGTGAAGGTAAATCACTCTTGGTATATTGACAGTGGCTGTAGTAACCACATGACAGGAGATGAGGGACTTTTAGTGAATATTCAAAGGGATTGGACCTCTAAGGTGAAGATGGGAACTAGAGAAGTAGTTCCAGTTGCTGGAAAAGGAACTCTGATGATCAAAACCAAGCTGGGTAAGAAACACATTCATGAAGTAATGCTTGTACCTGGTCTTGACGAAAACTTGCTTAGTGTTGGGAAAATGATGGAGCATGGATACCATCTTGTGTTTGGAGGAACTATGGTGAATGTCTATGATGATCAGTCACTGGAAAATCTGATTGTGAGGGTGCAAATGACAAACAACAGATGTTTTCCACTTACAATGATGCCTGCAAGGGATATGGCTTTGAGAACCAGTGTTTCACACTGCTTGCAGACATGGCACAAGAGGTTGGGACACTTAAATGAAAGGAGCATAAAAATGCTTGAAAATCAAGGCATGGTTCATGGCTTACCTCATTTGGAGCAGATTTCAGTGGTTTGTGATGGTTGTATGCAAGGAAAGCAGCACAGAGACTCTTTTCCTTTGGAATCCAGTTGGAGAGCAACAAGTCCGTTGGAATTGGTTCACACGGATATCTGTGGACCAATGAAAACAGAATCATTATCTGGAAACAGGTATTTTCTGCTTTTTACAGATGATTGCACTAGAATGTCATGGGTGTATTTCATTAGAAACAAGTCAAGTGCATTGGAGTGTTTTAGAAAATTCAAGGCTATGACTGAGCTGCAAAGTGGGTTCAAGATAAAAAGCTTGAGAAGTGATAGGGGTGGGGAGTTTTTATCTGGAAAATTTAACAGGTTCTGTGAAGAATTAGGCATTCAAAGGCAGTTAATAGTAGCATACTCCCCTCAGCAAAATGGAGTAGCTGAGAGGAAGAACAGAAGAGTGGTGGAAATGGCCAAATCCATGTTGCATGAGAAAGGTATCCTTTATGAATTTTGGGCAGAAGCTGTAAATACTGCAGTTTATTTGCTGAATAGATGTCCCACCAAGGCTCTCAAGAAGGAAACATCATTTGAAGCCTATACTGGCAAAAAACCAGGAATTGCACACTTAAAAATATTTGGATCTCCTTGTCATGTGCTTATTCCTTCAGCTTTGAGGCATAAGCTTGAAGAAAACAGTCACAAGTGTATTTTTGTAGGCTATGGTCTCTATGAAAAGGGATATAGGCTGTTTGATCCAAGTACTAGGAAGGTTATTCTGTCCAGAGATGTGCAATTTGATGAAAATGGTTTATGGAAATGGGAGAATGCTAGAGAAGGAGAAATGATAGTTCTTGTGCCTACTGAAAACCAAGACTATGCTCAAAGTTCAAACTTGGACACACCACTGCAAATGGATGAAGAAACCACATTACAAGATGAACCAAGTCAAAGCTTGGATACACAAACACAAATAGATGAAAATACTACTTTGCAGGATGAAAGCATTGGTGGAAGTTCTCAAGCTATGGATCATACACCAAAGAAATGGAGAAGTATTAATGACATTATGGCTCAGTGCAATATGTGCATTGTGGAACCTGAGAATTTTGAAGAGGCTGATCTAGATGAGTCATGGAGAAAGGCAATGGAAGCTGAGTTGGAAATGATAGAGAAGAATAACACTTGGCAG